TTTTTTTTTGCTAGTTGCTCTGGGATTCTGCTCGAGGCTACACCACCTGGCCCGTGGCACAGTGGGCAATGGAACTCCCAAACACTGAGCTATCCAGCTGGCTATTACCCAACTCTACCTTTTGTTTAATCTCATTGTTCTTCTGTGTAGTACATTTTCTGTCCAGTTCTTCTAAAAAGGCTTTGTATCAACTTCTTTAACTGCACATTTAAGGGGGGAAATGCAGACCTGCACTCCTCTGATGCTTACCTGTACATAACCCCACATATGCAAACAAACATATGTGGTCTGTTTACTTAAACCAGAGTGTGCTCATCTTGGCACAGAAGAATTATAATGAGGTTGGTAATCTCCAGAGGCCTGGAGGTCAGCTCCCCCCGCCTGCCCATACCTGGACCTTGATGAGCTGCACCCACTCACTCCCATGCTCCTATGTTGTAAAGGAAAAAAAAACACATTTGTTGAAAAACTAGAAAAGCCCCCTTATGCCTTCTAGTAGCAAAATAACAACAAAACAAGTAAGTTTAAATATACATCTAATTATTAGAGAATCAGGATCATTAACATCCTTCCCCAAACAGGTATACACCAGATATGCTCGACATTGTAGTCTGTCACATGTAGAGGGCATCAGACTGGGACAACTGACTCAACTGAGCAGGATTTCCCTGTATTTAAATGGAAATGGGCATTTCCAGAATTGAGTACATATCTAAAGCAGTAAAGGCAGTGTCCCAAACAAATTGATTTTTTAAAGAAAAAGCTTAGAAAATACATGAATGAACTCCCCCCTGCAATTCGCTTGGTCCTTCACTGGTGATCTAGAAAAAGTCACTAAAAACCTGGTAATTTAGGCATACATTGCAAAACATGATATCTGCGGAGTCATCTGAGCTTAGTTAGCCCACTTCATCAAGACCGCCAATTTAAATATTTAAAATGTTCTGAATGCTTTATGCAAATGTATTTTTATGTTTTAATGGTACTGTTTATTTGCATGTTATTATTTCTATTTTCTATTCCATTAAATTGTATTTTAAGCTTATTGTTTATATATCTTTTAAACCGCTCAGAGTGGCCTTTGGCCAGATGGGTGGTATAAAAATTAAATGAATGAATGAATGATGGCAAAGTTGGTAAAATACAAAATCAAAATGAAACCCAAGAAAGATAACAAGAGAATAACAATTTTAGCCAGCTAACAGACTATCTGGGAAAAAGAAGAGAAGTTAGTTTAAGCATTTACCTTTCTTTGACTGTATTGCTGTTGTATCCTGGAAAGATGGCAGCTTCAAGCAAGCACAAAAGGCACAGCGTTGTTTGCTCATAGGATGAGCAAGTCTCTTTAGAGCCACAGGTCTGGAGATCCAAAGGCTTCAGGTGTTCCTTTTCATAATTTATCTGGGTTTAACAAAAGAAGACAAAATAGCGTCTTCTTAATTTCTGATTACTCACTTAGTTTGGGTTTCAGGATACACAAAGATTGAAAAGGTGCTCCATTACAGGAAAAAACTGGTTCTGTGTGGTTTCTTTGCTTCTGACCTCTTTCTTGAGAGAGAAGAGACCTTCCAAAGTATGTAGGCTGGATACATGCCTGCCTAGAAACTTCCTTGATGGCTTCCTTCAGGGCTTTTGTTAATCATTTTGCCTCCAAAACAGCAAAGAATCTTGAGATCTCTTGTCACATCTTTTGCTGGACACAAACATTCATAGAGAAGACCGCAGGCCAGCAAAAGCTGGAACACAATAAAAACCTATCTGATTTCAAGGTGCCACAAGACTCTTTCTACTTTTTGCTGCAAAAAAAATGGAACAGTCTAGTCAGTAAT